GGAAAAGAAATTTAATTTCTAAACACGGAAAGGTTTCTTCACAGTAAGAGTTGTGAAAATGTGGAATAGACTCCCTCAAGAGTTGGTTCTGGCCAGCTCAGTGGGTTGATTTAAAAAAGGCCTGGATTCTTTCCTAGATACACAGAATATAACTGGATACTAACATTTATAGGTAAAGTTGATCCAGGGAATATCCTATTGCCTCTGGGTTATCAGGAAGGAATTTTTTTCCCTGCAGGAGAAAATTGGATCACGCTTTCCTGGGGGGTTTTTTGCCTTCCTCTGGATCAGCTGTGGGTATAGGATTATATCTTTTTTTTTGTTTTTTAATGGTTGAACTGGATGGACTTTTGTCTTTTTCCAGCCAGACTAACTATGTAACTATGTATAGCCTTTGGCATCCCTTCGTAAAATTTGCAAGTAAAATTCTGACATGCTGGTTGTATCCAAGTTGATCTATAGATCAACCAGCCTGCCCATAGAGGGTTTGAATCTCGTCCCTGCTGAACCAGCCAAGATTTGGTTCATCTGTGGTCAGCTTAATTATCACTACAAAAGCCATCAGGGTGACTTTGGACAAGTGTAAGACCTTTCCAGTGTCTTCGCCACACCACCGAATCCAACACAGGCCATAGCCAGCATGGAGCCATGTTCCCTAGCAACATGTACACATTCGATAAAATTAACCTAAATCACATCATGATTAACACCACTCATATCAAGAAAACAAAAGCTGCCGTCAAAGAATGAATTTGCAAAGTCACTTTTCAAAGTGATATGCAGCTGGCGTTGGTTCACCATGGGTAACCCAGGCGAGCACCGCGTTCTTTTAAGGTGTCTCAATAAAAGTATTTCCTTGCTTTGTTCTGGGAAGTATTTTCACATGTGATTTACACAATAACTAGGATAGCCCATGGAAAAGCAACAAGTTACAATATTATCATCAAGCTGCAGATGTTGGCAAGTGAGACACAAACATATAAAGTGTCTGTAGGACCCACTTCTCATGCATTGTAGTTAAAAGGTCAGTGAATACAAAATTGGTACTTTAGTTATGGGTGGACATTGGCTGGCTAAGTCTCCTACTGACAGGGACAACAAAGGAAAGATTGCCCTGCCAGAGTTACCGCCTCTACTTGCCTAACCATGTTAGGAATAGTAGGTATTTGAAACCTGCAACAAGTATGAAGCAGATATCTTCTCCATGGCAAATATCTGGACCTTAAATCAACCCTGCCATTAAAAAATAAAAAGTCTGTAAAAAATGTTGCTAATGCTTCCTACCAGCCATGACTGCAGTCTTCATATTCTTACAGGGCTACAGCTGTCAATGGAATGGACACCATCCGACACTTCTGGGTGTGTCAGATATCTTTATCTATCATCGAATGCCTTGGTTCTATCCACCGTGTACTACATCACTAGCATCTCTGTGCAGCTCTGCAGTGGTGTGAAATCTGCAGACACAGGTGCCGGGGCTGGTAAGTAATAGTAACGTATTTTACGCTGCTTTTTTTTCTCACAAGTGAGTCACTTTAAAGCAAAAGTGTGAAGATGTCAGGAGTCCATACTCCCATTGAATACCCCATTGGTGATGTCACTACCTAAGTATGAAAAAAGGAAAATACAGTATGCAACTGTGTCAAATATAAATCTGGAGGTCCTATCAAGGGCTCCACTCTGTACTTTACCAACAAACCAAGTTCTCAGTGAAGTCACAGGCAAAGCAGCCATTATTTGCTTGTGATCCCTTGATTGCAGTAATGTGCCACTAAACCACCAATGTTTACTATGTATAGCAGTCAAAGCAGTCCATATACTGAATGTGTATTCCAATTGCAACATTTACAGTTTGCTTGTAGCTAAAACATATCTAACCCCCCCCCCCCAAAAAAAAAAAAGAAGTGTTTTATACATTACAGCTTACCAGGCATTGGATGCAGTAGTTACATAAGTTTTCTTCTTTTTCAGGACTTCCCTTTTTCCTCTTTTTCACCTGATAATTCCGTGAATAACACTCTTCCTGTCCCTGAGTATCTACGTTTACTCCTCCACTGTATTTATGGAAGAAGCCATGGCTGTCACCCAGTTTGGACTACAAACATGTCTGCCTTTATTCATCATTGATGCATGAAGGATAGATGGATTCATTTAAGGAAGGAAGGTAACCTTGTTTTATATCTTCAGTTCAACTCACAGAAAGTGATAAGGTCACTGCATTTCTGACAAGATCAACAAGTATTCTCTGTACTCGCTGAACTTACTGAAACTAATGCAGCCACCACATCTAAGGACTGGTAACCAGCAATATATTAAATTTTTGCTCCTGGGTTTGATTAAACACAAAAGGTTTTAAAGTCCATCTTGAGGCAAAGTAGGAGGCATCTTCTTCTGTATATCATTGCTCATTTCTCCAAATACTGTATGGGGTATATTTACAAAAATTGGACCACTCAGGATCTGGTAAAGCTGTGCATGGTAGCCAATCAGCTTCTAACTTCAGCTTTGACAATAAAACCTGGAAGCTGACTGGTTTCTATGTAGAGCTGCACCAGATTTTGCATCCTCCAGCTTTAGTAAATGACCCCCTATGAGTAATTGCTGAGCTGATGACAGTGATAGACCTTCTGTAAAGCTAGGTAAGCTTATCTCAATAGTCCTTAAGGACAGACACATCAAATGTACCACTTAAATTTCCCAGCGGAATAGTAACATCAGTAAAAACGGAACAGAGGTTGTAACCTCCCTACTCTATCAAAGTCTTAAAAAATAGGTTTTGGCTTTAGATACCTTAAATTTAATTTCTTCAATACCAGGCACTTTAATTCCCTTCCTGCCCAAGCCAATGTCCAGCTTTCAGCGCCGTCGCACTTTGTACAACAATTGCACAGTCATCCAACAAATTTTTTTGAGACAGAGCTTTCTTTTTGTGGTATTTATTCAACACTGGGGTTTTCTATTCTTTTTGCTAAACAAAACCACTTTTCTTAGTTTCTGTTATAAAAATTTGCAAATAAGTACATTTTTGTTCTTCACTGATGTGCACTGATAAGGCTGCACTGATGGGCTGCATTGATGGGCACTGAGGAGGCTGCACCAATAAAGCTGCACTGATAATCAGGACACTTATGATCAGTGCTCTTTTTATCAGTGTAAACGTCCCCTGTCACAGGAAAGCCGGTTATCAGCTTTCCTTTTCTCAGCACTGTGACAACCCCGAGGAAAGGAAATGTCGATAATAGACATTTGTTTACATGCGATCATTTGTGATTGGACACAGCTGATCACATGGTAAAGAGCCAACATTATCAGTGCTTTAACCTGAGCGGTGATGAGCTGTGTCCAAGGGACACAGCTCACCACAGACCTCCATGCTGCACGCCCCCGGGGGTGTACATGAGTGGTGTGACCGGGAAGACGTCATATGACGTCCACCCGGAGGGGCAAAAGGCCCTCCAGGCCATCAATCTGCTGCTGACCACCAGGTAACCACTGTTAGTGTAAAGATTCCCTTCCTAAACTGACAATGAAACGTCCTTCCTCCATACAGCTGATGATGCACTTTGTCCAGAGTAACACCAGCCTAAACTAGACTCATACCAAATGTGTTCATTACATCCTGAGCTTGGACATGGTGCTTGCCAACCCCCTTTAAATTTACTATTGAAGCAGCACATTGGTCAGTTTTTATCTTCTGTACTTGAAAATGGTCTGGTGGCTCAGTTCAGGTGTAATTGAAGAACTTTCTATGGTAAAAGACAGATTTGAAGGCAAGGCAACAGCTGCTGAAGACAGATCGAAATATTCAGAATATCTCAGCATACTGCACATAACTTTGGTGTCATTGTTATATAACTTCAAAAAGCCCATGCAGCACACATCAGTCAGCTCACTGTAATATGTTTACATAATGGGGATGCTGTTATTTGTCTCAGGATACACAGATCAACTCATACAACGATTAAGTCACTTGGGGTGTTCATACACTGACTAAATCATTGTGTATATTCTACCGCCATGAATATATCGTTTTAAACAAGAGTAAAGTGTCAGAGCAGCTTAATTGGATGCTTATTGCAAGTCAGTGACCAATATATAAATACAGGGTTGGACAACAAAATGGAAACACTACATGATTTGCAGATGTGAAAATGGAAACATGTTTAGCGCTGAAAGTGGAAGTGATGTAACATTCTTTTGCTTACACTGTGTGATGAGACACCTAGCTAACAGGTGGGAAGCCTCACTTTCATCATTCACTGAGTGTAATGCTAGTAATACGGAGTCATGTAAGAGTTAACTGAGCTTCAAAGAGGGCAAATTGTTGGTGTCCACTTAGCTGGTGCCTCTTTGACTTAAGTTGCCAATTTATTTGCCTTGTTATGAGTATCAATGGTTATGGCAGCATATACAGTTTCCAGGAAAACGTTATCTGATAAGCATAAGCACGATCGACATGGTCAACTGACTGAAAGATACAAAGGACATTGTGCAGGATTGTGATCCAGAATAGGAAAACAACTGCTGAAAATGACTGCAGAGCTCAATCTCAGACTTCATGGCAGCCTGCTGTATATACACTATATACCAAAAGTATTGGGACGCCTGCCTTTACACGCACATGAACTTTAAGGGCATCCCAGTCTTAGTCCGTAGGGTTCAATATTGAGTTGGCCCGCCCTTTGCAGCTATAACAGCTTCAACTCTTCTGGGAAGGCTGCCCACAAGGTTTTGAGTGTGTCTATGGGAATGTTTGACCATTCTTCCAGAAGTGCATTTGTGAGGTCAGGCACTGATGTCAGACAAGAAGGCCTGGCTCTCAGTCTGCGCTGTAATTCAGCTCAAAGGTGTTCTATCGGGTTGGGTTCAGGACTCTGTGCAGGACAGTCAAGTTCCTCCACCCCAAACTCACTCATCCATGTCTTTGCTTTGTGCACAGGTGCACAGGTATGTTGGAACAGAAAGAGGCCATCCCCAAACTGTTCCCACAAAGTTGGGAGCATGAAATTGTCCAAAATGTCTTGGTATATTGATACCTTAAGAGATTTTTCTTCACTGGAACTAAGGGGCCAAGCCCAGCCCTGAAAAACAACCCCACACTATAATCCCCCCTCCACCAAACTTTATCCTTGGCACAATGCAGTCGGACAAGTACCATTCTCCTGGCAACCTCCAAACCCAGACACGTCCATCAGATTGCCAGACGAGAAGCATGATTTGTCACTCCAGAGAACACATCTACACTGCTCTAGAGTCCAGTGGTGGCATGCTTTACACCACTGCATCTGACACTTTGCATTGCAGAAGGTGAGGTAAGGCTTGGATGCAGCTGCTTGGCCATGGAAACCAATTCCATGAAGCTCTGTTGTTGTGCTAATCTGAAGGCCACACAAAGTTTGGAGGTCTTTAGGTATTGACTTCTGTGCGCTTTAGCATGTGCTGACCCCTTTCTGTCATTTTACGCGGCCTACCACTTGGTGGCTGAGTTGCTGTTGTTCCCAGTTGCTTCCACTTTGTTATAATACCACTAACAGTTGACCGTGGAATATTTAGTAGCACTGAAATTTCACGGATGGACTTATTGCACAGGTGGCAACCTATCACGGTACCACGCTTGAATTCACTGAGCTCCTGAGAGTGACCCATTCTTTCACAAATGTTTGTAGAAGCAGTCTTGCATGCCTAGGTGATGATTTTATACACTTGTGGCCATGGAGGTGATTGTAACACCTGAATCCAATGATTTGGAGGGCTGGCCCAATACTTATGGCAATATAGGATATCTCCCTTAGTATGGACTTTGGCCAAACACATTTATTTCAGTGGGTGGTGTCTTAATCAATGCAACTCAAATTTCAGCGACAAAAAAAGGTTCCTGCACAATTTGTTCTGTGACTTTGGTGCGATTCGAGTGCCATAGACTGCAATGTTAAATCACAAGAGTTGCAAACACGTTGCAAGAAAGTTGCAAGGAAGTTGCAGCAGTGTAAACCAAGCCTCACCATTAGAAATGTGCTCGTTCAGAAAATGTTTCCATACTGCTCCTTCAAAATTTCTCATTACTGCAGTCAAAAACGAACAGTGATTTGACTCCACTACCAATTAGAAAATTGAACAAATTTTATTAAAATGAACAATGTCATATGAAATTCTACTACTGTAAGGCCAGTAGTGTTGGGCATGATGTTCGAGTCGAACTTATGTTTGGGCAAACACAGGAATGGTAAGGGCATTTGGCAGGCTGTTTGCCCACCATGCCCCACAATGCTTTGGCCAATCATAGCGCATGATGATGTCACAAGGGGTGGGGGTGACCGACGAACTGTCACCCCAGTGCAGCTGTTACACAGTGGGAGCCAGCATCGAGAGCGGAGCGTTTTTTCTCTTCTTTTTTCAGGTCGGAAGTGGCAGCGGGCATCATGATTGACGTTGGATCTACTTCGGAGGACATTTTTTCAAATTTTGTTTTTAATAAAGTATTTGTCAAAAACTGTCTCCTGTCATTTTTTACACTACACTTTTTTTTTCATGAATGAGTAGCGGTACCATGTACCCCATACTCATTCACATGGTGGAGGGCCGGGATCTGGAGGCCCCCTTGTTATTATTAGCCACATATCAATAAATCAGGGATTGGAGGAGGAAGAGGATATTATTGCTGGCCACTGAACATCAATGATAGGGGGAGAGGTGGATTATTGCTGGCCACTGATTATCAATAATTCAAGGATTGAGGGAGGTAGGAGGGTTTATTGCTTGTTTTGACCACCAATAATTGAGGAAGAGAGGATTATAGCTTGCCATTAAACATCAGTAATTGTGCAAAGGGGGGATTATTGATGCCCACTAAAAATCAATGATTGGGGGATTTGGAAAGAAAGGGAGGATCATTGCTTGCACTGACCCCTAATAGATGTAGGAAGGGGGTTTATTGATGCCCATTAAAATATCAATGATTGGGGGATTGGGTGAGGGATCATTGCTTGCACTGCCACTAGGAATGCATGTAAACTGTGCACCCATTGTACAAAATGTTTATTTGTGTTACTTGCTTCCATTTAGTTATTTTAACATCTTATCATCAGAAAATAATATATTTTTTTCATTAGACATTAGTTCTTTCATTGGTTTCCCATTTTTCTGTTTTCCCCGCTATTTAATAATTATCCCATGAAAAGCTCTCTGTTAAGTTATCAGTTAAAGTGACCATGAAAAGGACAGATCGTTAAATGCTCTGAAGTTGAGATAATTCTGCAGTGTTCCAGGCAAACTGTTCCAACGAAGCAGTGTTCTCACAATTCTTAACACATGCAAGCAGCCTTCATGTCATATATTGCTATTTGCCAAGCAGCTAATCATTGACCACAATACAGACAGGGAGCAGACATGTTTTACTTGAATATGTTCCACTGACCAGACACGGTGATGTGCCCATCGAAAGATTGATTATTAGGTCCATTCTCGGCCAAGTCCACCTGAGCAGGAGGAATGTCATGAACAATGGACTACACAGAACTGTAAAGAGCCCTTTGTCTTTGTTTTACTTAAAGGCCAACTCCAGGCAACTAAAAAGGTATACCTTGCAGTGGGGCTTCACCTACACTATATGGGTTAGTTGCTTGTTTAGGTAATCTGAAAAACAAGATTTACTTACCCAATACTCTGCTCCTCTGCACTGTTAGGCTCCATGCACACTGGGCTTAAAATTTCTGCTTCTGCAGGAGCTTTGTGTTTTGCCTGTAGAAGCAGCTCAGTCTTATCGTATGGGTCCATGAATATTAGGACGATTAGAGGCATATTTTAAGCTCAATATTTAGAGGCAAAAACATCTTCTGGTTTGCGTTTCTGATTAGAGCTTTATGGCATAAAAAATGCTAAACTCTCCTGAACTCATCTAAACTGTACAGTAAACACTCTATATCAGCATTTTTTTTCTGCTAAGGCAGGGGTGGGCAACCTGTGGCTCTCCAGCTGTTGTGGAACTACATTTCCCATGAGACATTGCAAAACTGACAGTTACAGCTATGACTTGTAGAGGTATGATGGAACTTTGTAGTCCTGCAACAGCTGGAGAGCCATAGGTTGCTCACCCCTGTGCTAAGGGAACTGGTGTTTTTTTTTTGTTAAGCCCAGTGTGCATGGAGCCTCAGACTGATTCCCACAGCATCTTCTCCACCATGCTCCAGAAATCTAGCATCTTGATGTCATCAAAACCTTTGCATGTTCATAGCCCTGCATCATATGTAATGAAACCAGGAGGCAGTCCACCGCTGGAACATGGGGGGGCTCCATCTGCTGGGGGATCGAGCATATAAATGCACTTCTCTGCCTAGACACATTGGCACTTAACCACACTGCAAAGGATAATTTTATTTATATAATTTTCAGAAAGTTGGGCTTTAAAGAAAACCTCCTTTTTGTTTTGGATAGAGTAGTAAAGGGCTACAGTTTTTACTGCTCTCTGTGTTCCCCTTGGAAAGATACACCCTTGCTAGCTATATCAACCTCCGGAAATCCCCTACACAGCAGCATTCAGACTTGAACAGGTAACGTCAGTACTCTCAACCAATCAGAAACCAAATCTTTTGATGGTGCGTATGTAGCGCCTTCTAGTGGAGATTAACAAGCCAGATTCTGTGCCAGGGACCCCACTGTAGAAGCATTGGCACGAGAAGTCTGGGTTACCTTCTTCTTGCAGGTGGGATACTCATTACTATTATGCAATGTCCAAGCCTGCCAAGTTCTTGATGACCTTAAGGTGCAGGAACACAACCAACCGCACAATCGGATGTGTGGTTTACCAGGTTCACATATGTATGTACAGAGACATAATGTGCAAAATGTTTCCATGGGACAATCTCTCCCTCTCTTCCTATAACCCAGGCCAGCAAAGCAATCTACAATGCCCTGCCTGATATCCTGATAACCATGGAAAGGTTACCAGTATATCTACCTTTTGCTTTACACAGGACCCCACAAGTGTATGTAGATCTCTCACACCATACATAATCACACTCTTCCTAACGCACTCAGTAACAGATTTTCTAGTTAGAGTTTTTTGATTTTTGACTTTCTTTAACTGAACTGATTGAGCAGCACCACAGAGTTCAAATTATGGCAGGGAGTTAAAAAACATTCTAAGTACAGCGCCATTTCTCTCACTATATTAAACAATCCTACTCAGAGGTATGTGGCCATTAGTGGTCACAGTCTTTCTGTTCTGCCATAGGCTATGCTCTCAGATATCCTTCCCCAATCCAGGGGGCCCACTTAAGGAAAACACGTGGCCTGTTGTAGCTCTCCATGGTTGTTCCTGTTCCCATTTAACAACCGACCTAACAACTCCACCCCTAGTTTATATACCCTAGCAAGGAAGGAGAAGACCAGGGCTTTTTTTCAGCTGGAACTTAGTCAACTGGCTCAGGTCCTCCCTGCTCACCAATATCACTTGTAAACACAGAAGTCCACCTTCTGTGTTTACAAGTGATAGCTTGTTTTCCAACAGCTCCCACAGATTTGATCTCCTGAATGGCTCACACTGAATGCAGGATGGGCACAAGGGAGATGCAGGTGTCCAGGGTGCAGTGCAGATGGAGACATACCACTGGATAATCTCCTTGCAAGTGAGAGAGGCGGAGCCACCTATAGTGTGTGGGGAAGTACTAGAGCCAGCTGGGTGCTTCAGCTTAATACAGCAACAAAAGTAAGACATGTGGAAGATAGTGGAGCTTTTAAGGAGGGGGGAGATGATGGGGGCAGTGGAGGGAGAGTTGCATGCAGAGGTCAGAGCTGAAGAGGGTTAAAGTGTGATGTGGATGAGAGATGCAGAGGTTAGCAGGTGTGGAAGAAGGCTGAACTCTGCAGTCTGTATGCAACGCACCCCTGAACTCTGCACTCTGTATGCAGTGCACCCCTGAACTCTGCACTCTGTATGCAGCGCACCCCTGAACTCTGCACTCTGTATGCAGCGCACCCCTGAACTCTGCACTCTGTATGCAGCGCACCCCTGAACCCTGCACTCTGTATGCAGCGCACCCCTGAACTCTGCACTCTGTATGCAGCGCACCCCTGAACTCTGCACTCTGTATGCAGCGCACCCCTGAACTCTGCACTCTGTATGCAGCGCACCCCTGAACCCTGCACTCTGTATGCAGTGCACCCCTGAACTCTGCACTCTGTATGCAGCGCACCCCTGAACTCTGCACTCTGTATGCAGCGCACCCCTGAACTCTGGACTCTATATGTATCACAATCCCAAATTCTACACTACGCGCACTCCTTTTTCTTTTCCATTATATCTTTTATAAAATTTTCTTTTAAGAAAAAAATACCTTACAAAACCATCATAAATCTTTTTACATCATACATATAAACTTTCTCTCCACACCCACCCCAACACACCCCTGTCCAATCTCATCTTATCCTCTCTTTCCCCTCCTATTAATCTAGTTATATATATATAGATCTCTTTAACCATTTAAGCGCACTCCTGAACTCTGCACTCTGCGTGTATCTCCACCCCAAACTCTGTACTCTGTACTTAATGCACTCCTGGTATTTAATATGCCTCCTTAAAAACAGCCACACCATCTTTTTCCAGAGCAACCTGCATTTCTTTTGAGGTTGCCTGTGGGTTCTTCTTTGAATCCTGGATAATTCTTCTGTCAGTTATGGCTGCAA